GTGAAAAACAAAGAAGTAACCCCTAAAAAATTTAGTTAAGACCACTGACAAGCATTTCTAAACAGCAGTGCTTTTATAAGATACCTTTTTTGTATTGTCTATTTGCACAGTGGCACTAGAGAGGAAGGCTAAAGCAGTGCTATCACTTGAGCCAATTAGTATGCTTTGGGTTGCGAACAACAGAAAACCCAAAATTAAAAATGGCTTTATTAATAAGTACATTTACTATCTCACATACAAAGCAGTCTAGAAGTAGGATAATTCCAGGGTGGTTTAATTCAGGAGCTTACAAAGTCATCAAGCACCCAAGTTCTATCTTTCTGCTTTACTACTGTCAACAAGGAGCTTTTGTCCTCAGCTTTGTCCCCTAATGGGTGCAAGAAAACTAGCTATAGTTCCAGGTACAACAGGAAGACATAACGAGACCAAATAGAAGAACGGGGGACTGTTTCTTTCTATGTATATATTTATAACAGTAGGAAAATCTTTACAGAAGTCTCCATATCCCCAAACAGGCTTTCCCTCAAGTCTCATTGGCCAGAACTATAGGCTATGTTTATTGTTCATTGCTAACCAAACATTGACAAGAATGGAATTATCATAGTCAACAGAGCCATTATCATTCACCACCTGTGCTGAGGCTTGCCTATTCTGAAACACAAAGGAAGAGAAAATGAATCAGAGTTCTGTCAGAAAAAAGGAAAGGGGTGGGGAAAGGTGATTGAAAGATTAAAATAGATATTCACAGACTAAAAAGAGAAGTGAAAAATATTTTCATTGTAATCACAAGTTAACAAACAAAAATAAATAATAATAAATAAGACTGATTATGTCTTATTTCACACTGTATAGTTCAGGTTTCATGCTGCTTGAATAGTCTACGCCACCCATTTTCATACTTAATTATATATTGCCTCTTATCATTCTTTGAATATTTCCTATCTTATTTCCTTAACTGGACTGCAAACCTGCAAACCTTCCGAGAATTGGAAATCTATCTTTTAAACGTTCCTCAATGCTAACAATCTAAGAAACAGCAAACACCAATAAATACTTATGAAAAGCTAACATTTATTTCATATAATAATCTGCCATCTCATTAAACCTGGTAGATTGAACACAAATAATCACCTGTGCCCTTTTCCAAAACCCCACTAAATGTCAATAAAGAACTTTAAAAGGTATAAATTCACAAGAATAATGAGAATACACTAGAAAACACCAATTGACAAGAAATTTTAACAAAATTTTGGAAGCTGGAAAGAGTATGGACATGTTGCATCTGACACAGCAGACCAGAGAAAGCAGAGACCTAAGCCTGCAGAAGGGGTAGATGGTGGGAGGGAGAGGCAATGGGAAGCAAGCCACAGGCATAGCACTAATCCAGAAAGACTAAGCAACCCAACTGGAGGTAACAGCTATCAGGTAACCAGGTGAAAGTGTATGGTGAGGCAAAAAGCTGAAGGATTGGCTGAAAGTTCATATGAGGAACAGGTGGTCTATCAGATCCCCTCTCCACTTGCCCAAGCAACTGTCCTGCCCCTATCATCACAGAAGACAATTCTCCAGAAGACAATCTCAAAGAAGCCAAAGTAAAGAATCTAGGGATCCTGGACAACAAGCACATCTAAGGGTAGGGATGAGATATCATACCACTACCAGGAAGATTAAGCCTGGACGAGGAATCTCTGAATGGTGGTGAGCCTGCTCTCTCCAACCTCCCAACCCATACCCACAACCATCACCTCTGATAAAATAAACACACCCCAACAGGTAGGAGACTGGAGGATTGCTGTCTTTAGAAACTAAATAACTAACAAGACCTACAGATACTGACATCTGGTGGTTCCACATTAAAATAGATCCTCATCTGTTCACCCCTCCAGGCAACAAGGCCCCCACTACTACCCTGCTATTCATACATGCCTTCCAATTAACACTCTTAAATATCAAAAGCCAGCCAGTGAAAGCCTATGACTCCATATGCTGAGATGGATGGATGGATGGATGGGAGGAAGGGAGGGAGGGAGGGAAGGAGTCAAAAGCCAGCCAGTGAAAGCCTATGACTCCATATGCTGAGATGGATGGATGGATGGATGGATGGATGGGAGGAAGGGAGGGAGGGAGGGAAGGAGGGAGGAAAGAAGGGAGGTCGGAGGAAGAAGGAAGGAGGGGAAGGGAGAAAGAAGGAAGAAAGAAAAGGGATTTGAAGAAAACAAAGACAAGGAAGCAGAAGGAAATTTTAAAAATAAAAATAAAAAAACCATAGAGAGATGATACGATACTGCACCCATGAAACAAGAACAGGATTCTCTTTAAGAGAGAGAGCGTAAACAGTGAGTGCAGATATCCAAGTGCATTGACAGAGAAAAGAAGAATATCATTAGAAAAAGTATGATTCTGGTTATTCTATCTAAGCTGGAATGTGGATGATTGATTAATGACTGACTGGGTGCTACATGTGGCTAGGATCTGAGGGTAATGATTCGTACAGAATAAATATGACAGCTGTGTGCTGGAGTAACCATTTTGCACACAAGATAGAACCAAGTTGACGATGGGAGAACAAGAGAGCCTGGGTCTTTAACTGCTGTTGAGCTGCCAGTGTAGCCCTGACTGCCCTCCATTGCTATGAGAAATCAAAAACAAAAGCAAAACAAAAACAAAAATACCACCTTATTCAATACATTATTTTTGTGGGGCTTTTTTGCTACTTGCACCTTAACCATATACTAACTAATACATTACGTGTATACAGCAAGTTTTCCCCCAAATCCCTACAATATGAAACAAAGAAAATTATGTTCCAAGCTTACTATCTTGTCATTCTTATTAACTATGCTTAAGTCTATCTTACATTAACCAAGAAAGATGAATGCTAACACTTCAAGTTTCAGGATGACATTCTAATCAAGTTTATCACATGTAATAAAATGCAATGCTGAAGGACCTATGGAATACAGCCCCAGGTGTCCATAGCACACTACTCTCATTGTGTTTGGATGTTGCAGAATCACTCCAGTAAGGCTTACCTTCAATTTCCCTCAGTCTGACTTTCTTCTTCTAAATTCATATTGGATGACTGATGGCCAGCATAATAAATATCTTATCTTTCCACACCTTTCCCCCAAGAAGAATATGTCTTTTTGAAAGTGAGGCATTGTCAGACACCTGGAGCCCAAGCTTAGTTCTTAACTCTTTCGTCCAGAGTGAACACTGCAGCTTTTAAATGTCTTTACATTGCTATAACATATCTATTAATATATACTATTCAACTCTATATAGATAAAAAGTCACTTTTATAATTAAACTAGAAATCCTAGGGACAGAGGAAAGAGGAAGGATATGCAATAAAACATAGACCAGTGTGAGTTTAACTGCTTGGCTTAACACAATATCATCTATATTGAAAAATAGGATTATTCTGACACTGTCTAAAGATTTCACAATAAGTAAAAATTTCACAAAATGCTAAAGGAAAAATGTTCTGGCAGACAGGGATCAATGTAATTTTGGAATAATTTTCTTACGATGTCTGGCACAATTAACCAAATCAGTAACAGACCATTTCCTATACGCACCCACCTTTCCCCCAGGGTTCTGGCAGATTGATGACTGATTGGGTAGTACATATGGCTAGGGTCTGAAGGTAATGATGGCAGTCACTTTTGTACAGAATAAATATAAGAGAAGCGAAATCTAAAACATGGCAAACCTCAAAGGTAAGGTAGGACAATAAAGGAAAGAAATGACCTTAATAGACAAGAGTCCGCCTGTTCCTACCTTTCTAAATCAATGCATCCACCAAATTCTTGTCATCTTTGTAACTAAGCACTTCAGTATGAGCTCTGGACTTTGAAACACACCTTATTAAACCTCCTACCCAGAGATGATCAACCAAAAGTAAACTTTTATTTCTATGTTGTTACAGGGAGAAAAGAACCAGCCCCACTCATTAACCAAAGCAGGGAACCCTTTCATTTGTTTCCATTGATGACAAGAATAACAAGTTTACCAGACAACTTCTCCATCCTTAAAAGTCACATCATTACTTACTGAGTACTGGTGAAGAAGAAATTAAGGGAAGAAGAAATTGATTTATTAAAATAAGTCAATCCTGAAATCTAAAGACACCTTCATATTTGCATTGACATTTTCATCTTAATATTCTTGGCACTTATTTTCTTTACTTTTTAAAAGGATTCAAATACTAGGAAGGTAGAATGTATCAACAGGAGAAAAAGCTGACACTTTTCTTACTTGCATAAGCTAAAATTGTGATGAATGTTTACATTTAAAGGCTTAATGACTACATCCTACACCCTCAACCTTAAAAAAAAAAAAGAAATGAGTGGAGGGCCTTACAGCTTAAAACCTATTGGAGGAGAGGTCTATCTGACACTGGCCAGTGCAGGTTCTATGCAACCTCCGCTGTAGACCCTGAGACTAATTTGTCTTCCCTCTAATTATTTCTTCAACTGACTCACGCCATACTTGTATTTCTCAATTTGGAGCTTTCCTCAAAGGGAAGGAATGAAGTAAGCAAATTCCCTCATATCATATAATGATCTACTTCTTTAATATATGTGCACCTAAGGAGGATAGGAGTTACTGATAGACACACTAAAAATTCAAAAAACTTGCCATGGGGTAAATGAAATTAAGGCAGGTCCATCAGCCAAAGTTCCCAGCCTTTACATTATGGTGTACCATCGAACAGTCTGTATTGTAATTGCAACTGCGTAAAACCTCAATATGTACAATTAAAAAGGTATAGACTCTATTCCTGTATTCCTTCCTTAAAAAAAGAGGAATATATGAGAGGTTTATTTGTAAAGCAGAAAAACCAGCTGAAAAAAAATTAATAATGTTGCTAAATCAATAGGAACTAGGTGTTTTAGCAAAGCTCTTATGCAATATTCTAAATTTAGCTGAAATGCACAAAAAATAGAAATCAGACTATTTAACTGTTTCTTGTGGTAGAAAATGACAAAGCTCACCTTCTCAATATTTATCTGGTGCTTTCTTAACCTCTCCAGGTCTGTTGGGATTACTATCTTAATAAATTTCTGGATAGCTGGTTCAAGACGGCGTAATTTCACTTTTTCTTCATCTTCAGACATCCTAAAAATACGTTGTGTCACTTCCACTTCTGACAACTGTCTTCTCCACTCATACAGAAAAACCTAAAAAGGAAATGTTTCTTTAAGAATGTTTTTCAATCAGTTTCCACTATTTTTAAAAGCCAACAATGGGGTAGTTTTAAAACTTATCCTAAATACATATTCAACTTCATCCTGAACTTGACTTGTTTTTTCTTTATGAAACCATGTATGTTAAAATTTTTTTCTCTTTACAAAAGTTATGTACATTCACTTTAGAATGTTTAGAAAATATAAATAAATGAAGAGAATAAAATAAAATCAACAATCATCTCCTTACTCTTAGTTAACTACTCTTTACATTTTGGTGTATGTCTCTCCAGGACTTTTTCTACATTCCTTACTCTTAGTTAACTACTCTTTACATTTTGGTGTATGTCTCTCCAGGACTTTTTCTACGTTAAGTATGTATGTATGTATGTACAGAAATAACCTTTTTAAAAAAACTAAGAGTATAGTACCCAAGTTTTCATTTCCCAATATATCTTGGACATTGAATAACCTTTTTTTTAAAGGTGTCAAATAGCAAAACTTGACATTTCATTCTTAACATTTCTGCTTGCATCAAACTCTACTTCTAATGTCATTATAATGTAACTATATAATTTTATACTTCAAATTTATTATACTATGCAACTCTTCTCATTGATATCCTTTAAACTGTCTCTTCCCTTTCTCACGAAGTAATTAGTATTGTCTACAACTGATACAAATAACCAGTGACAAAGCTAGAGTAAGAACCCAGATTTTCTGAAAGTACATTCCAATGTTTTTACTTCACCAACAGTTTTCTACCAGTGTTCTGGAAAGTCCAAGGGTATGCCTTTGGTGCCAGGGTAGGAGAGGGTAGGGGCTGGAAATGAGCAGGCTCCAGGACCCCACCCCTGCTTCAATTGGAGAAAAGTTACTTACATCTACTTTATAAACTGGAGCTTATTGGGTCTTATATGAGTAATGGGCTCCACTGCTTAAACAAGCCTGAAAGCCACTATAGTATACCATGCTTTCATGCCATCTCATTAGCCATAACCTCTCCCACATTAAAAAAAAAAAAAAAAATTAAGTTGACTATGTTAATCCCACTGGCATATGGTGTCTTAGCCCAGGGTCCATAGAGACAGGGGTTCACACATAGACTTTGTGGAGTCCCTGAATTTTTATGAAGAATAGTGAATGTATTTTATTTTGGAGGATAGAGTTCATTGTTTTCAAGAGATTTTCAAAGAGATCTATTATTTCCCAAACATGAAGAACTACTGCTCTAGATAATGTTCTATTTCTCTCCTTTCTTTCACAGCTGAAAATCTCGAAATGTTTGTTATACAGACTGCCTCCACTATCCATCCACTAGCAATTTTGCTTTTATACTTAATACAAGCTTAAAAGTAAAAAGGAAAATCTCCAGGCATCAAAAAGAAAAAGGGTAAAACAGCTGCAGTACCGAATAGGAACTGGAGACACATGGAGAAATTCATTGCCAAAGGAGACAGTCCACAGACACACACAAAAAACAGGAGAATGCACAGCTAAGGGACTAGAAATAATAAAGTAATCAAAAAAGAAAATTAAAGTATATTTTTAAATGTCCAATGATATAAAGGAGGAATACAATCTTTTAAAAAAATTAGATAATACCATGAAACAACAACAGGCCAATCTGCACATAAACCAAGTAAAACTTCTAGAAATGAAAACTTCAAAAGATGGATTAAACAGTAAACTATATCGCTGAAGAGAGAATTATTGATTGGAAGATATCACTCAGAACACAGAGGCATAAAAAGATGTAAAATATAAAAGAAAAGATAAAGGACATAAAGCATAAACCAAGAAGCCCAATGACAAACAGGAGTCCCATAAGGAAAGGATAAAGAAAATGATGAAAAAAAATTATTGAAAGAGAATATGCTGAGAATTAAGATGTAAGACCTCAAATTGAAAAAG